TTGACAAGTTACTACGGAATTAGTAAAATATTCTTTTATATTATTTTTACTTAAAAGTTACTTGGTTTTTTTCCTTTTTACAATTTAAATTCATCTTTAACACATAAAATTATTAAAGATTCAACACCTGGCGGTGTTCTTATGCATGGAACAATAGCACAAACATTATCAAGTAATAAATTAATTAAACTATTTTTTTTGACTTATTAACAATATGTTTTTGTTTCATAAAAATTTTTTCTCAAAATATTCCAAAAGACATGGAAACTATTATTTTGCTTTTTTTTAGTTAGAAGGCCATATCGAAAATCTTATTGAAACAGCTACTGTCAAATATCAACAATCGATTAAAACACTATTATCAAGTAGACGAATTTGATTTTTAGAAAAAATACAAATCATTTATTCTATGTAGAAAATTATTCAATAAAACAAAATTCTATTAATCGATCATATATTGTGTGAAGATAAAATTCATAAATCTGTTGAATATAGACGAATTTTGAAGTAAAGAAAGTTATTTTGTAAATAGTCAGCTTAAGAAAAAAATAATATTTTCGAAATTTAACAAAGAATATTTCAATCATGATGTAATAGTAACATATTAACATCTTATATATCACAAAAAGAATTCATAGCATTAAATTAGATCATTTTTAATAAGATGTTTTGCTACGAAATAAAAGAATTATCCTTCAATAAACTCTTTATGTATAAGGTATCTCCATGTGACAATTCTATTTACATTACTCGCTGTTATGACAAAAAGAAAAACATGTTGCGTTGTAGAATAGAGCAAGAAAAAACTAACGTTACTTACTATCGTCATAAAAATATAACAGAATTGGTTGTATGCCCCAATTTCTCTTTTCTCCGTTTGAAAGAAATTATCAGTAAATATCTTGCGTTCTGCAGCATGAGAGAAAAAAAACACTAAACAATGAATGTCAGGGACTTTCTTTTAGACAAGTAAAAATACTTTTTGTATTCATTCAAATCAACTATTATAAATAGTTATTCTTCCTTGAACACTTTAAAAACAATATATACATATATATAAGTTGCTGAATATGTGAAAAATGAAAGTAAATAATGAACAACTTGAATTGACCGAATCAGGACAATCAACGAAAATAAGTAATGCCTCAAATCGATCCAAATAAATTTCTTTAAAACCTTTCATCATGTATGTATGATTTATTTATTGTATTGAATGTAGCAATTCTTTTCTTGATATATAGTTTAGCACTCATTTTTTCAATATTTCCATGTATAGGATTGATCATTGGTATATATTTCAAAGATCAATGTCCTATAAATAGTGATATACCAGGATACATGATCATTTCTAGTTCAGGTATTCTCATAATCATTATTCTAGTTACCCGACTTATTAAGTAAGTGATTTGTTTATTTTCCTCTCTCTCTCTCTCTTACTTTTGTTTTTTTTTTTAAACTTTTATTCAATAGAATTGTTGTACGGTCAAAAGATTCAGATAAACAAAATGGTGAATCGTCAAAGAAAATTCACTGCGGTTCAGTTGCATGTTTGATGCTCGTACCGATTGGAGGACTTATTTTTTTCTTGGTTATTCGAGCTTGTTTCGCAGTAGCAACATTTCTTCATGCTTATGAAAAAGTTCAAGTCATTGATCAAATGAAAAAAAAGAACCTATTGTCATCCTGTTTTATATCGCACGTTTTTAGTTTATACAATAGTTACATTCATAATGACAGTTCTCTTCTGTATTATTCTGAGATTTGCGCCACGATATGGACGTCAATTTTTTTCATTTTAATACGATAGTCATATGACGTGATGATTATATAAATAACGGAGAAATTCTCCCATTAGACAAAATTACAATTGAAACACACAACAAACAAATATTTCAGAGCGTTTCCAACCAAAAAAATGATTATATTTTTATACAATGTTGATCGAGTTAGCAAATTTATTTTTTAAAAGTTCTAAATTCAACAAGGTCAATTACGATTGGTAGAACAGCTATTATGAAAACAAATATTTTCAATATGATAAAACTTAACGAGATATCTGGTATTTTATTTATAATATTCAGAGTTTGTCAGCTTAACACATTATTCGTTTTTGTTTTAATAAAGTATCGTCTTCATTCAACAATTTCGTTCAGCTTTTAAATTCTTATAGTTCTTTTTTGCATCGAATATTTCAATCAAATTTTCGTAAGTTGATAATTTTATTTGAAGGGAAAAATCCACTACGCTATGCATTGATTAGTGCCTTGCGGTTCCTATAATTACCCGAGAATCAAACCGGAACCGATGGTTTCAGTTCCTAAAATCGATCATCAACGTATATTTTCTAGTTGACAAAGATAAAGTAAAAAAGCAAAATAAAAGGAATTTCTTGTGGTTAACTCTATCATACCCTAATCGAACATCTTGTAAGCAAGATCTTAGGTACAGAAAATTGAACAGAGATCTTGAGAATTTAGGTACAAAAAAAATATTTTCATTTTAATTATTTCTATCTTGAATACATGAAGTAAGTCAGACTTTAGAATCTGCTTCACCTGCAAATGTCTCAACTTCTAACAAACTGTCTCAGGATAGTCCACCCTCAAGTATTGATCGAGATAAGCATTTTCTCAAATGATCAACTCTCGAGAAACAGTTTAAAATGAAAATTATTTTGAAAATATATATTTCGTATGTTCAATCACGTTGCTTACATAAAGTTCTGTATGCATAAAAAAAAGACGGTAAATGACTAATCAGTATGTAAGCAATACAATCATAATGTCGTTGTTTGTTTGTTTCAAGATTTTGTAAAAAGATAATAGCGAATGATATAGTTTTCATGATCTTGAAAAGATCTAAGGTACAGATTTATCCGGTACAACCAAGATATTCATATACAAATTATATTTTCAAGATTTTATCAAGATCTAACTGATCTGTTCCAAGATTTCAAGATCTTGCTTACTGAATGTTCCAGTAAGGTATAATGTGATCTTGATCTTTAGAAATTAAATATCTCAATCAAATAATTTTCTTTGCGTTTTCTGTCTTCAAGAGCAGACATGAAAAACAGCACTACTAGTCATGGGCGGCGCAGCTTCAATTTTTTAGGGGAAACAATAAACTTTTCTCTCCTCTAAGTAGTGAAAGGTTCTGTAGTAAAAGTTTTCTTTTTCTCAAGAGGTCCCCCTCCGCCATTTCCGGGAGTTTTTGATAGCAACTCCTCAGAAAATTTTGAAATTTTCAAAGTTGATAGATTATCTCAACATATAGAGTAAAAGTTGTCATAGACTCAAAATTCTGCAATGCGTCTTTCTCTGGGATATTGGAATCACAATGGTTAAAAATCACCGCTCGAATTGTCTCCGTTTCTCAGCCACTATATATGGTGCAGAGCTGAAATTTGTTTTCCAGATGCTAGACACTGATTCGAGAGGCTACGTCTTTTGGTTTCGTTCTAACTCGTTCTTTTCGAAAAAAGCCCAGATATGAAGAGCATCCAAAAAAAATGCCTATTTTTTTATAGTACACAATATCTCTAAAAAGAATTTCCGTCTGATCGGATACGTCGTATCTGAAAAACGGAGGGGGGGGGGGGGAAGCAATTCTCTTGATTTTCGCTGAAAAATTAGATTTCTAGAAAACGAATAAAGAACGAAAAAATTGTGTTATATCTCTACGGGAATCATTATATTTTTTTGGATCTTATTTTTGATATAGGATTATATCTGAGTTCTAAAAATGTCACCAGTCAAGAGAGGACACTTGAGTGTAGATGTAGAGCAGAAAAAAACAAAAATCGATGGATTTGAATATTTTGGAGTCGACAAGGAATATATCCCTTCAAACTTCATTTTTCAAAGTCGTAACGGTGGAGTTTTGCATATTTATCAATCACAGCGCAAATTAAGCGTCTTATAATAAACTAACGTTTTTTCTTGAAAACAAATTTTGTTCAACACGAATTCACAAAAATTCCTTTTTTGTTTTTCTTATTTTCTTTCATTCACTGATCATTAAATGTAAGACTTCATACTCACATAAGAAACCTCTGAATATTTTAACAGCTGTTCTTTTGTGAAAGAACTATGGGCATAAGAATTATCTTTCATTATTAACTTTTCGAATACTTTTAAATGTTCGTGAATGTGTATTATTAGTGGAAAAAGAAAGAATTATATAAAGTTCTTTTATGTTTTTTTCAAAATATCTTTTTGATATAAAATCTGTTACAAAACCATCTATATCAGTTTTATAATCTTCTTTCTATATTTATTAATGCTAAAGACGTTAATCGTTCTTGTTCAATTGTATTTCTAATATATGTGTTACAGGAGAAATTGAAATTCAGGGCTATTTAAAATAGCCCCTAGGGGAAATTGAAATTTTAATCTCCTCTGGGGCAAATTAAAATCTTTTTTTTCTCGGTCCAATTTAAGGAAAAGGTGAAGATTCTGATTTCAGCAAGTCCTATATTCGCACCCACATCAACACCCGCATCTAATTTTTAAAGTTTCACCGCATCAGTATTTTCCAAATAGCTGAACTCGTGTAAAACACACATTTTTAATTTGTAGGCATGGGTGTGGAATGTTAATGTGTGTGTGAGTATAGGTGCGGGTGTGGATGCCAGTATGAATGTGGATGCGACTGTAGAACTTGTTGAAATCAAAATCTTCATCTTTTCTCATAAATTGAACCGGGAAACAACAAGATTTTAATTTGCCCTAGAGGAGATTAAAATTTCAGTTTCTCCTAAGGGCTCTTTTAAATAGCCCTGGATTTCAATCTCCCTGTAACATATATTCTACAATAAATCAAAACAAAAATGTCTTGAAAATAATAGTGAAAGTCTATTTGTAATGAAAGAATCCAAGATGGTAAAGGTAGATGTGAATGTCCACGTATAGAAACGCGAGGTTAAAAGACACAGTAGTATGACACCGACATATAGAATCCATATCCTTCTGGTTATATGTGCTTGGGATTCTTCTTCACTATTCATTCGCGTAATGTTTTCTTCGTTTTTTAATTGATCCATCTTCATCTAAGACTGACTCTTCATCTTTCCCAAGTTTCTTTAGCAAGCTAACGATCCATGGGTGATCCGATGGCAAAGATTTCAATGCAATATCATACGCTTTTTTCCATTCTTTCAAGGCCTCCGATTTGTCTCCAAAACAGCTGTAAAGATTACCAATATTCCAATATGTTCTAACAAAACCTGAATGATTTTCAGGCAAGAATGCCAATTGTGTGTCAAGAGATTTTGAGTAAAAATGCATGGCTGAAACATAAATGCCTTGTCGTTTGTAGATAAATCCAAAATTGTTATATATTTTGGCAATGTTTAAAGGATCTTCCGGTAAGATTTTTGATTGAATCTGAAATATTTGTTCACAGCAGTCTAAAGCCTCTTTGTATATATCTTGGTCTTGATTAAATCCTTCCATATGATTGTTTGTGTTTGTAATATCCGGAAGATTGTCAAGTAATAATTTTAATTTTATGTCCAATACCTTTTTAAAATACTTCCTGGCCTCCATATGGTTACCCTGAATACGATAAATATTTACAATATTGTTATATATCGTGACAATGTGAGGATGACTTTCAGACAGAGATTCTAAAACAACAGTGACTGCTTTCTTGTAATAAGTCAAAGCTTCATCATAACTTTTTTTACTGTGGAGAATTACTGCAAGATTGTTATATGTTCTAGCAATATTTGAATGGTTATTAGACAAGGACTTTTCTTCAATGCCAAGTTTTTTCTCAAGATAATCTATAGCTTTATCATTGTCGCCTTTACTGTGATAAATATGTGCAAAAGTATCGTACGTAATTGCAAAGTCCAGATGATTTTTAGGTAAATATGCTGACTGCATCTCAAATGCTTCGTTGCAATATTTCAATGCTACATCAAAGTTGCGTTTCTTATGGAAAATATTTGCAAGATTATGGTATGTTCCTGCAATGCTTACATAATTTTTAGAAGAAGATTTTAATTGTATATCAAGTGATTTTTGAAAATATCTGCCGGCTTCAGCGTACTTGTTAAGACTTAAGAGAACGGCTCCCATATTGACATATGTCATTGCAATGTCTCGATGATCTGCAGGCAAAGATTTTGATTCAATGTCCAGTACTTGCCTATAAAGATCGAGTGCACTACTATAATCACCCATGATATCTTTCACCATTGCGATATTCTGAAGCGTCGCTGTAATATCTGGATGATATTTAGGCAGAGATTTTAATTGAATATTCAGTGCGTTCTCGTAGTTTTTCAAAGCTATACTATAATTGCCTTGAATTTGATAAAGTGAGCCAATGTTACAGTATGTTTGTGCAAGATCTGGAAGACTTTTCGACGACTTTTTTTGCATATTGAGTACTTTCATAAAAGAATTGAGGGATTCAGTAAAGTTACCTTGATTTGTCTGTAACACTCCAATGTTACCGTAAATCTTTTCAAAGACAGGATGATGTTCAGGTAATTCCTTTTTACAAATATCCAATGCATTTTTAAGGCAGTTCGAAGCTTCTGTGTAATTACCTAGAATTTGATGAGTTCTTGAGATGTTCGTGTATATGGCGCCCATATACGGATCACTTAATGAGATTCTTCTGCTCAACAATTCATAATAATGTATAGCTTGATCATAGTGACCCATTTCACCCATTATATAACCTAATGCTGCTACATCGTAGGGGTACTTTTGAATCTGTTTCCTTAAATAATCCGTCAATGCTTCCAGTTCGTTCTCTCTATTGTCTTGGCTCATTATGGCTAATTTAACTAAGAAATATACTTGATTATCTTCTGTACATTCTTCTATTGAAACAACTCGAAATATACAATCCATTGAAAATAAAACTTCTTCTTCGGCTTTAAATTTGCCAAAATCCTTTATATAGGCGAATGGGATCGATATAGAACCAGTGTTTTTTAGATTAATTTCAAAAATAACAGGTACTGAATCTCCTACAATTGCACCAGCAATGAATTCAAAAGCCACGGCTTTATCTAATGTTGTCGACATAAATGAGTTCATTGATACTAAACCACCTTTTATTTGTCGTAGAATTTCGAACTCATTCTTATTCACTAATTGTCCACGATAGACAGTTTCAATATATTTTAATTCTGATGATTGTTTTAAGTATAAATTTTTCAATTGTTGATATAAGTCATTTATAATAAGTCGGAGTTTGTAGATATTATAAAATTTTTGACATCTTAATGCCTCATTTACAATACGATATACAAAGCAATCTCGAATATACCATTGAATAGCATTATCAGGAGTGTAGTCTTTTTCGAAGCTGTCAATCAAAGATTTTTGAGCGTTATTATTACTATAATGCTCGCGACATACAGACAAGAAATCAGATTTTGCTTCATTGTTTTCTGAAGGATGTAGTAATATTTCAATAAATAAATTCATATACATAAAATATTTACTTTCTTTTGATAAATTTTTTACAGATTTTTGTGTGACAGATTGATTTTTATCGTCGAAAAATGCCATAGGTAATGGAAAGTGCATTGAAAGTAGTTTAACATCTCTCTTGATTTTATCCACAAGTAATTGCTTATTGTTGAATATATTTCCAAGATGGATATGTTCTGAATAGCTATTGTTATTATTAGCGTCATTCATATTGAATATGTAAATAGATTTAATTTGAGGTATTTCATTAATAAGAGGAATAATAAACTGATGTGAAGATAGAATTATAAGTTTATTTATATTGGATGACAGTGATGTTATATAATCTATACAATTATCTGCATTATCGAACAATTGTAGATTATCGATTATAACTCTTAAAGCCGAACTAATCTCCATGAAATTATTTGAGATATGATAATCGCTAAGCCATACAATGACAAAATCTTCTACAATTTCGGATTGTACTGTGGACGATAAATCGTTTTGTGGAAATGCTAGCTGATTTTCAACATTATCAGCCATGATAAAATTACGAAATAAACTAATATGTATTCTAGAATCGAATAGAAATCATAAATGAGCTTATGTTTTTAAATTTTTTTATTCTTAATCGACGTGAATAGGAGTGACGCTTAGATCCTCTCTCGCTTTATTAAAATAAATTACAGTAAAATATCTCTAGCTCTATCGATTAGGCAGAATAAAGTAAAATAAGAAAAAGGAAAGTATTTAATGAGTAGTTATTGATTCTTTTACAGATTAAGAAAAATGTTTATTGGATTTATTGCTATGTTTTGACAGTATGAACACTAAAAAAGATATCGAGCAGAAAGTTA